TCTCATTCTCTCTGTCTCAAATAAATAAGTAAAATCTTTAAAAAAAAAAAAAAAATATGGACAGGCCTGTGTGACTATAGCTAGCATAGATAAGAGGTCAAAAAATGGTTAAGAGAGGACACTTAAAAGAAAGCAAGGAAGATGTTTCTACTGGAAAATTAAAAGCAACAAACTTGGCAGGACTTATGGAATTCATTAAGTATAGTGATCTCTAGGGGTAATGTGAAAGCATTAGAAAATTTTTTTAAGTAGGGAAGTAACATACTCAGATATGCATTTTGAAATTACTCTAGCTATAATGTAGACTAAGATAGGCCACAGTGGTTGTGAATAAACAGATTTTACTAGATTGCTGCAGGTGCCAGATGACTAGGGTAGCGTTAGTAAAGATGAAAAGAACTTCACAAACAGTAGCTAAAACAAACTTGTATTTTTTTCATTCTGACCTCAAATAGCCCTAGAAAGTAGCATTTAAAAATAAAAACATTTTAAGATAAAACATAAAATATGGTTTTCTTAATCTTATCCCATCACATATTTTCTTCAAAAATTAATATCCTGAGGATTGGCCAATTTGAAGAAATAACATTCTCTAGTTCAAATAAAACTATGTAATGACACCTTTTTATGATTTCAAGAAAAAAATATCAATAAACCCATGAGTATTATCAGATGCCTCTCAACTTACCATTTTTCCAATCATCATTACATAAGGTCCTGCCTGTTGATTTACAGCTAGAAAATCTAGCAAACGCACATACCAAAATATTATGTTAAGACAGTAAATTAATCTTCCAGCAACAAAAACATGATTATCATATGCATTCTCAAAGTTCCATTTTGCTCCAAATCTTAGTCCAAATCCAATGAAGAAAGAAATTATGGCAATTGTATCACTGATATTGAAGTAATCACTAAACCACACTTTAATCTTCTGGCTTATTTTTCCAGCTTCAGACATAAAGATCTATGGGTTAAAAAAAAAAAAAAAAAGAAAAAATCTAATTGAACTGTTTAAGTAATCAATTTCCTCCTATAAAAACATATATTAGCATTCAATTATAATATCACAGTAGAATTTTATATATTTTTTATTATTTCAAAGTATTTTTTCAAGATTTTATTTAAAAGAGAGAGAGACCATGGTGGGGGAGGGAGAGGGAGAAGCAGACTCCCGCCGAGCAAGGAGCCCAACTTGGGGCTCGATCCCAGATGAACTGAGCCAAAGGCAGACACTTTAACCGACTGAGCCACCCAGGAGCCCCTCAAAGTATTTTTTTAAATTGAAGTACAGTTAATACATGTTACATTAGTTTCAGGTATACAACATAGTGATTCAACAACTCTATATATTATGCTCCGCTCACAAGTGTAGCTATCATCTGTTACCATACAATGCTATTACAATACCACTGACTATATATTCCTTGTGCTATACCTTTCATCCCTAGAACTTATTCATTCCATAACTAGAAGCCTGTGCCACCCACTCCCCTTTACCCATTTTGCCCATCTCTCCTCCCCTCCTTCCCCACAATCACTTTGTTCTCTGTATTTATAGGTCTGTTTCTGCTTTTGTTTTGTTGCTTAGATCTCATATATAAATGAATTACATAGTATTTGTCAAAGTATGTTTGATTATCTTGGGCTTTGATGATGTATTTGATCACTGAAACAATTCAGTAAGATATCAGAGACACATACTTCTTATCCTCCTTCTATATATGTGTGTGTGTGTGTATATATATATATACACACATATGTATATAAATACCCACAAATAAATGACCTATTCAACCAAGGTCATTCTACTAAGAAGCTGGAAATCTTAAATTAGAACAGAGTTCTCTAGAAAGTGAGATACTTCTGAAAGTTGTTTTATTTTTCATTGAAACAACAGGATATCCTGATAGGATCTTCCCAAAGGTGTCTTATTTACAGAAAGCAAACAACTCGATGGTTTAAGTACCTGTACTCATCTCTTCTCTTGAATATAAAAATTAAAAATTTGCATTGCCTGGGTGGCTCAGTTGGTTGAGTGGCAGAATCTTGATTCTGGCTCAAGTCATGATCTCAGGGTCATGAGATCAAGCCCCTTGTTGGGTTCCGCACTCAGCTGGTAGTCTGCTTGAGTTTCTCTCCCTCTGTCCCTCCCCCCCACTCGCACACTCTCTTTCAAATAAATAAATTTTTAAAAAGAATTTAAAATTTCTCTTTTGTGGGGAATGGTAATACATTTATAGCTTCAAAATCATAAGTGTATATAAGAATAAGTATTGAAAAGCCTCTTTTCCATTCTTCTTCCTTAGCCAATTAACTTCCCTTCCCACTAGAGGCAACCAGTTATTACAATCTAATGAATCCTTGTACAGCTTTTATGAATATGCATTTAAAAAATTACTTACAACTTTATCATTTAACAATTTAATTTTTTCAAACATGTTGGTAAAACAACAGATTTCATAAACATATAAACCATGGCACTCAAAGAAATTAAAAATGCATAATAAAATATTTAAGAAGATAAATTCCTATGACACCTAAGTGGAAGGGAAGTACAATGCTTTCATTTGTTTTTGCAACATAATGTATTCTCTAAATCTACAGCACAGACATGAAATAATCCAGAAGTATTTAAGTCAGTGTGTTATAAAACTGTATTTATGTAGTTAATAGTTTGAATAAAAAGTATAAACATTTATTTAAGGAAAATACTTTTTTAAAATCAAGATGTTAGAAAATTTATAATTTAAACTGAAAACTGTGATAAACACAGGAATCTAAATCTAAATGACAATTCAATGGGCAATACAGCACACTTATATACTGATTATGAGTAACAGATACATATACATATAGAAAACCAAACAAAACACCCTCCATATATACAGTAAGTTACTGGTAGGAGAAACTACAGACATACCTCACGGACTTTCTCAATAGCATAGGTAAAAATATAAGCAATAACAATCCATTCTTGAACTGAAGGTAATCGTTCCATTTGTACAAGAACCACAAATGTATAAAGCATCAGAAATCCTAAGTATGCCAACTAATGAAAAACACAAAATATGAATAATATAAATTACAAGATAAAATTTTATCAAAATTTTCAATCCAACACACAAAAGAGAGACTAAATGAACCCCTGTGAACTATCTCCAAGCTTCCATCATTAAAACAGTTTTAGGGGTGCCTGGGTGGCTCAGTCAGTTTAAGCATCCAGCTCTTGGTTCTTGGTTTCGGCTCAGGTCATGATCTCAGGTTCGTGAAACTGAGCCCCACATTTAGCTCCACGCTTAGTGTAGAGTCTTCCCTCACCCTCTACCCCTCCCCCGGTTCATGTGCATGCACTCTCTAATAAATTAATTAATTAATTAAAAAGTTTTAGAAGTAACTTCATTGCAGACATTGCATTTATCAATCAAAACAGAAATGGTTCCAAGAGTATAACTATGGTGTTCTAGAACTTCGATGACTTTCTAGTATTCCCCATAGGAAGAATTTTATAGTAGAAGATTTATGTTCTCAGCATAGTTCATATAATTCCATTTAACTTATACTATTCCTCAAGTATCATATTATACTGTAGAACTTCATCACCATCATCATCAAGAAATACAAACTACCTCCTTCCTCCTTCCCCGAACCAAATACCATTCCCAGGAAAGACAACTGCTATTTTCCTAACTCCTAGTCATTGAGGTTGAATCCCAAGAAATGAAAACAGATATGAAAAGCATTTTCCCTAGGTAAAGGAACATACCACCTTTGATACTCTCAACAAAAAAGATGATATTATATAAGATCTATGTATAACAACATCTGAAGAGTTATTTCGTTTCAGAGGAAAACCCAGACTCGTTCACCTTTGGACAATTGTATCTAAGAATCCTCTCTTCATTCTCCTGGCCTCTACCAGCATTGAAACAAGCCACATTCTTGATTTAAGCTATGGCGGGGCCGGGCAGTAAACTCCAATAAATAAGGAAAGAAAAGAGAAATTTCTATTTGGCCATCATGGTTGTCCTTTTTTTTTTTTTAAACATTTTATTTATTTATTTTAGAGTGAGTGAGTGACAGAGAGAGAGAGCATGCACAAGCCAGGGGAGAGGCAGAGGGAGAGAGAGAAGCAGATGCTACACTGAGCAGGGAGCCTGACATGGGACTCGATCCCAGGACCCTGAGATCATGACCTGAGCCAAAGGCAGATACTTAACCAACTGAGCCACCCAGGTGCCCCAGGGTTGTCCATTTTTAAAAAGTCACTCACATGAATGCAAATGTGACGAAAACGAAAAACAAAACAATAACAAGATAAACAACTTAAGAATTTTTCTGGGGCACCTGGGTGGCTCAGTTGGTTAAGCGACTGCCTTCGGCTCAGGTCATGATTCTGGAGTCCCGGGATCGAGTCCCGCATCGGGCTCCCTGCTCGGCAGGGAGTCTGC